TCAGTCTTTTAGTTGATGCAACAGTTCTACTTCAATTAAAGTGGTAAAGCATGCAATACATGCGAGGATAAACTTTATCTAGTTCTATCTTCCATTGCGTTAAATGTAACGTTTTATCCGGAACTATGAATTATCAACCATCAATTCTCATTCAGTATGGCCAACATTTAAAAATCACAAAGAAATTTAAAGAGAAACAATTACTAAGTCGTTGCTACAGCTATCTATTTGTGATCTTACGAACTTTTGCAAGCACCTAATATATTTTTTTCTTTTTTATTTTAAAAACACTCTAATTTTGTAATAATATTATCTCTGCAATTAGCAATAATCACTTTGTACCTTATATGAGACAATCCGACGAAACTATACGTATTTCAGAATCAGTTTCTCGTTAGGGGTTTCTAAATACGTTAACTCGCAATTGCCGTTCCGATCGAAGCATCATAATTGCCGATCCGATTGCTTAAGTTTCTCATGCAAAGAATAATAATTGAGGTCAAAGTGAGTTTACTGCGCGAACATCATCGGGCAAGCTGAATGCACGTGTCAAACGGAGATACCGGGCCTCCCTTGTAAACGCAATGGTTGATTGAAGTGACCGCAATAGTCTGCGGCGCTGTTCATCGTCGTCGGGGCGGGTTCTGAACATTCTCGTCGGTCGCGTAAAATCCGTATAGTCGCGGCTAAGCCATATCGCGGACGAGTCCTAAAACCGACCCTCGACCAAGTTTCCTAATCAGTATTTGGAGTATCGCGAACATTTGCGTTCGTATTCGCGCGAGGAGTTGCGCTGCATATTTCAAGCGCGAGTTGTGCGTCGCCACTCGCGGTTAATTGAAGTGAATATTAAATTCACGGAGGGTACGTTCGTAATTTTTAATTAGTCAGAAGTGAACTCGTGATAATTAGGGAATGAACGGTGGTACATATCGTGTTTTTATTTGCGAAAAACGGGCGAAAATACTGACGTTGTATCACACTGAGAAAGAAAGAGGCGCAAAGCGAATGATTAATTATTGACGATCGATCGTTCATTTGCGCCCGTTCGAGTTGCTCCGGATAGTCGACGTCTTGCGAAGCGTTCACGAAGTCGTGAAAGATAAACGAGATTTTCGGCCGTTCTGTTTCTGACATTCGGACAATCCTCGACCGTATACGCGGGTCCCGTTACGGTGAAACATTTTTTTCCTCTTCGTTCTCGTTTTGCCACGCGGTGGACGGCAGCTTGTTAAACCTCCAGTATTTGCCCCAGGCTGCTCGAAAATTCCGGTGGAGGAATCGACGCCCAGAAAAACAGAGTACCTTGGAACAGATCCAGGCGATGGCGCGCAGCGAGATTCGACGACGTTCGTCGAACAAGAAAGAAAGAGAGGATTGACGCTACTTTTGGCGCGGAATTAAAATTTCTTCGGATCGAAGATTTGATTACCATTACACTCCGCGAAGCGGAACGAAACTCTCGTTCTGTCTCTTGTTCTCTCGCACGTGTTTATATTTCTTCGCTGATTTTAATTCCGTTTAAACTTTATTCTCGAACGGGTTTTATTTAAAACGCGGATGTCTATTGTTATTAACGGGAAGATTCGAGTTTTACGATCTAATTACGCTTATATTTGCCGTCGTGGATTGGAGTGAAGAATTTGCAAGAAATAATAGACGGCAATCAGGCGGACGGTTAACCGAATTTCCTGCGAGGAATCGATGCTCAAGAGGGAACGTCGTTATTGTGATTCGCACTTAAAATATTTTCCGGCGCGCGCTATGTAAGTTGACGGAATGGTTGCATTACGTTACTCGCTCAATCTCACGGCGCAGTTAAATTAGCAACAACGTTAAAAGGCGAGACACGGCTGTTGGACGCGCGCGGGCTTCCATTAGCCTACACAGGACTTAGCCGGGTCCTCCGGAGAACTCCGGCTGGCAATGAAAAGTTCCAGCGAGACGCTAAATTATGCAGGGGAATGCGGCGAAATAATGGCCGTGTGGATTAACCTCGACCTTAGAACGGGGCGCTTCGAGCGCTGCTTTTTGAAAGGGGCGAGGTTAAACGATAAGATCCAATTATCGAGAAACAGTTTATCTCGCGGACGAACGAAAGGATAAGCCGGCGAGGAAACTCGGAGCCCCACTTTTCTCCGTGGAATAGACCGGGGATTCCGAAAACGTTAGGTTGCGCGACGCCGCGGGCTAAGAAAGGCCGATTGTTAACTTGCTTGATGTACGGCCGGTTTAGAAAATCGCCTGGCTATCGAAAGAGAGAGAGAGAGAGAGAGAGAGACCGGAGTAATTACAGGACAGTCAGCGATAAGCGCAAATAGGAAAGCGCCTGTATTTCGTATCGGTAGATAGGGGATGTTTTTATAGAGGCACTTTATTATCGAAGCTCGACGTCTCTTACGACCGGCCGAGGCGTTTGCTGGCGTCATGAATAAGGGTACAGCCTGAATTCTCGATCGCTACTTGCTGACACGCAAGAGCTTACTGGAAAGCACTACCGTAAGACCGGCAACTTGCGAGCTTCGTTTATTGCATCCTTACGGACGCGACCACCGTATCCCGATAAGATATTCTCCATCGCGAGGTAGAAAATCAGTTCGTCACGTACCGGGGAATCGAAGGAATATACTCCTATAGGCCGGCGGTGGTGCTTTTTTTTATAGTTTATATACGGGGGTGATCTTGTTTCGAAGATCTTTCTTTTCCGCGACGTCACCACTCTTGCCGTGATGCGAGCAACGTGATATATCGTTTCCTTGTTTCTACCATTACTCCGCCGCGCTCTCCCGATACGAGGATCGATATCCATGTCTCGTATTGCCGTGCGCTTCGAGGATATATCGAAGCTCATCTTCGAGGATGCGAGCATCCCTTGGGAATGCAGCTGAGAAGGTGAGCATTCCTTGTGCAAGACGCGCTCGTAATCAGGATAAGAACACGGTTTGAACACGGGGCCGATGCTTTACGTGACGAGGTTAACAATGCGAGAGCGAGCGAACGAACGAAACCGGAAATTCCGCACGCGACGGCAGTAAAAATGACAGCGGTATTGCGAGCTAAGTGTTATATCGCGAACGGTGAGTTCCGTCTTGTCCAAGAGCGCACGTCAAGAAGACCGCGTCGCATGCATCGCACCACTCGCCGTTGCATACGCTCTATTTGTCTTTCGAATATTTCCCTTGCCGCGCGGATATGTTGCGAAACAACATCCCCACCGCAGCTGAACTACTTCTTGTTTTCCGCATTTCCTGCAAACTTTTGATATTCCTTATTTTTCATAAACTCGTGTACTTCCATTTTCCACTCGTAACAAAGGACTTCTTTGTAGTGCAGTTTCAGACGTAAGACAAAATCGCGTGTCTTGAGAGACGGAGATCTATCGCAGCTATATCGCAAATATAAAAGATTCTTGGGTAATATCGCGCCGAATTGCTACCGCGGGGAATCCCCCTGTACTTGTCGTATCACGTTGCGTTAGAATTTCAGACGTTGAAGCATTTTGCCGGAGCCTTCCCTATTTGCTCTATGATCGCAGCGGATTCTTGAGATTAAAATACTTCAGCTCGCAGGCTGCAACCAGTCGGTTATCAAATATACCGTGGTAGTTGAGACGATTTTTATTGCATGTTATAACACGAGGGAAGTCACGATTACAGCCCGCGGATGTTTTTGTTTGTACGTCCGCGTTGTTTCGAGGGTCGTGCGGAATTTTCGGATTTGTTCCCCGTTTCCCTGTGTTTTTTAACTGGTTCTTTTAACTGGTTGTGATGTAATCCAGTTTTCCATTTCAGTCTCCGGTAACGAACGGGTCGCAACAATCTATGTTTTTATAAGAGTCATCGGTTTTAATTGGTGCCCGAAAGCTGATAAAGGCCAACGGAACATTCCAGGGTCCTTTAGCTCCGATCGTAGTATTAAATGCTTGAAAACATTGCATTTGTGACATGTATCTATCTCTGAAGAACTTCGCGGAAAACCACCGCAAGTGCCGTGCTTGTGAAAATGAGGGAATTCATTTGAAGGAAATAAATTTCATAAATTGAGAGAGAAGAGAGCAAGATTACATGAATAAAATGTCTGTACAGTAACAATAAAAATAGGAACTTATTTTCCCAGCCTTCTGATATAGGAGCACTCTCCTGAACATTTTGTTAAATAAACATTTTTATAATGTCCCGTAGAGTTTAAGAAATGGCATGTAGTTCGTGACATTTTCCCGAGGATACCTTCTCTTTTCTTACCTCTCTCTTTGCCTTCCTTTAATACAATATAAATTTTTTAGCAGCAAATTTCTTTAAATTCTAAGGAGGAATGTAAGATATTATATATTCATCGTATGCAACATCGCATAATTTAAGACGTTGCATCTTTCACCGCCGCGTTGTTTAACGTTGCGCAGTCCGTTAAAAAAAATTCATCCACGCGGTTTTCTACGAGAATTTATTGCACTAAATTTTTATAATTGTCGTCAAAATACGCGTGAATAATTTACTCCGCCGACAACGTGCAATTGATTAAATAACGCACTCTGTGTACCGTTATTATGCAACCTGCAGACATGCTGAACAATGAAGGTCCTTTGTCTTTACGAGCCTTATTAAAAGCACAAACGTTCTTCCGCAGCAATTTTTAATTGCGATATGAAACTGCGCAATGAGTTGCCCCTTGTACGCGTTAATTCGTTTTACGCCGGACGAATTTCAAGCGTGCCGTCTGCTCTCAAAATGGAAGTCTTATGAAATTTATAGCACCCATTCTCGTAATATTAAACATTTATTTCCTAAATTAAGAGACCGTCGTAAACAATTTTTTAGATTTCACTTTCATCTGCAATTTTTTTTACATGAATTAAAAATTTGGAATCTACTTATAATACAGAATATATCATTATATATATTTTTTATCTGAATGAAAAATGTAAACGAATTTTAAAGATTTCTCATTTTTCCCGGACGTTTTTCAGGACGTTCACTCAATGTGAAATTAATTATCTGTTACAGGACGAGAAGAACCAGTTGCTCATCACGAACCTTTGGTTGAAACTGGTAAGCTCTCTCTATTCTCCTCAAGTTTCCGATTCGCGGAAAATAAAACAAGCCGCGACGTCTTTCCAATTGATCGCTGCCAATTACACGAACGGCACGAAACTCGCCGAGACTACCCCAGCCATTTTTTAAGAATCTCCCATTAATTGAACGACAGTGGAACAATTGATCCAAAGTCGCCTCGACGTGCACCGAAGAGCGATTCAATTATTGCGTTACACGTCACCCTCTAAGTTTCATCCGACCGCGTGAAACTTCGTATAAATCAGACACTTGTCGTCGCCCCTGCGAGACTTGAAGATGGCCGAAAAAAATATCTTCATCACCCGCATCTCCGCGCTGCTTAATCCGATTATGTAGGCGCGCTCGCACCTTGAAATTTATCGCTCGAATTTTCGCCGTAAAACCGTATAATCATATCAACGGTGTAAGCAATTACACGCTGTAATTGGAGATCCAGCGTTACACGAAGAATACCCGACACGTTCCGCGCGTTTCTAACTTCATCGTCGGCTCGTCGATGTACTTCACACCGCGCACGTAAGTACGTACGAACGACGGGGAAGCGGCAGGGTAACCGTGACGAGGTCGGATCGGATTTTTATCGAGACCCAAACTATTAATAGAGTTGCCGCAACAGGTTACTCCCAGAGCGCGCGGCGAAGGCGCGCCCTTATTAGAGCGGACCGCGATAATGTTTTCTTCCAGCGGCGAGAACGGCTTCCGATTTTGTACGTGCGATATTCTCCGGGAGGGAAGATCGTTCCTCGCCGATCCCGCGTGCGCTCGAGAAAAAGAGAAAGAGAGAAAGCGGCATCCCGCCGGTGATCCGCATCGGAACGCATCGACGATTCTACGGACGACCGTTTTTGGCTGATTGACAGATCATACCGCATCAGACATGACACGCCCATCGGTGCGATTCAAACAACAACGAGAGTGAAGGTCGCGCGATCCTGCGGTTGGCCCTAATTTCGCCCGAGGCGACTTTAACTTTTCGTTCACGGCTGCGAGTTAATATTCCAGATTCGCTCGACGACTAACCTTCTATTAGGTTTATCTCGGCGTGAGCGTCGTCGCTTAATTAACTTTTTAAAGCGCATCGCGCCTTCATGTTTTCCGCGTAAATTCTGCGCCGCGGAGGGCCAGGTTTACACTCTTCTCAGAAAGTTCTAGCGATTCCGTTCTCGGCTTCCTTTTTTCCTCCTCTTTTCTTGGAATCTCTTTGTTTCTCTTCGATCGTGATACTCTCGTTGGTTCGACCGTGCGGATGTTCAGTACGTCCAAGCGTCGTTCCCAACGCGCCGATGATATTGAAACGCCAGCTTCCTCCGGCCAGTATTTAATCTTCCCCCGTGACGGCCAATGCATACGGAAGTAACACGCAACTACATTTGACTTGAAAAGCCGATACGTTCGCAAATATAAATCACGGAGATATTCAAGGAACACTCGACGTCCGCACGTATCGATGTGACGTCGTACATGTTTCGGTAAGGTACGTCGCGCTATCACGCGCACGTGTGCCGAATGTAAAGAGCGAGCACCGAAATTTCATTATCTGTCGTGCCAAAGAAATGGCGGGAACGTCACTTTTGAACGTTCGAGAGGCAAAGTGTATCTTTTCGATGTTAAAATGCGATCGGACGTGTTTTGCGTGCGCGCTAGAGACAAAACGGATGTGCATGTGACACTTTACCGAAACAAGTACGGCAATATTCGCGTGATAATTTCCAATTCAGCTGGTTTTGCGCAACGGCATCGCGAAATGAAAGTTGCAATGTTAATTTAATGATAATGATTCGCGCGCACACGCGTTTTATCGCGCGCCACGCGCAATGTTGCGAACATACACGACTTGCAATTACCGCCGCCGGAAATTATTAATTTAATCTTTGCGGGTCGTTCATTAAATCACGCGTGGCACGCGATATTCCATTTTCGCCGGACCTGCTGTCGCAGCGGGCGGCGTGACCGTTTCCTCTTGTCGCATATAAATTGGGAAAATACGAGATCGCGATTAAAAAGTTTTATTTATATGCCGCTTCTCCCTACATTTTTACGAATGATTACGTTCAATATTTGCGCTGATTCGTAAAGCAATTCCAAACGGCGTATCAATTCGACGTGGTTGACGTGCTTTATTGACATTTGGTATGCAAAGTGAAACAATGGATTAATTTGCGGAGAATGGCCGCCCTTTCGCGAACTGTACTTTACAATTTATTAACAAAAAATTCGTGATGCGCCCCGATTCGTGTATGATACCAGAATTATGAAATTCAATTTGATTTTTCCGTCTATCTTTTCGTTATCGCAAAATCGCCGTCATAACCATGTTCGCAAATTAATATCATATTACGTTGCACATGTGAAAACACCGGTACTTACTATTTAACCGGTAATTATTTAATATCCGAAATATCATCGAATCGTATACATTTCCGATCAGTTTGCCTCATCGATTCCCAAACAAACATTTCAAACGGGGACAGGAAAGATTCTACACAATTTTTCTCCATTTCTATCTTAAGCTCTACACAGAAATGTAACGCTCGTACTATTTTGGCACATGTGAAATGTGTTAAATTTAACAAAAAATTTCACTGTGTAGGATTACTACATATAGTGAAAAATTTTGTGTCAAATTTAACATATTTCACGTGTTCCAAACGGACCACTCAAATTTTTGTGTTAATTTCATACAAAGTGAACATGTTAAGTAGAAAAATGAAGTAACGCAAATCATATATTAAAAATTAACAAGTGGCAACTGTTACCGAAACAAAAGCCTAAACTTGTAAATGGATCGTAGAGTGCCAGGCAGTGAGCAAACGGCCGAGTGCAGATTGCTGTTACCGTGCGGTCGCTCGCGTGGCGAGTTCAACCACAAGCCGCCGAGTTCTTTTAAGTCTTTTGAGCGGTCTCCTATTAATGTTCGTCGCCAGAGCCGCCGCATTGTCTTCTTGCGGAGATAAGACGCGCGCTCCCGTGTATGTTAAACATATACTTACATATAAATTGTGTTATTTCAACACGAAAGAATGTTGAATTCAATTCTACACATCTTCAAATAACATATTCACCATAAGCTAAATTAACACACGGCTATGTTGAGAATTCAATACAAAACTTTTAACACCGATTTTAACGAAATGTTTTTTACTGTACAAACTTACGGCCCAATTAATTTCTATCCTGTTAACGATAATCTCGTATTAATCCATCGACGCGTATTCTGCCGAGAACACGCCTCTCTCCGTGACGTCTTCTTTCCTCTCACATCGGGCAAAGTCGACTCCGGGATGATCGACGCTGAAATTTATGTAAAGACTAGGAGCGAGCGAGCGAGCGAGGGACTCTCGCGGAAGGAAATGCATCGCAATCCGAAACCGGCGCGGGGAAAGACGGCGCTGTGCATAAAGTTTCGTTACTTCGGTTTCATCGTCGTTCTACGCGCTCGCCGGGAGAGACGCGAGAAGGAAATGCATTTACATAATTTTCGCCCGGGCTGATGGAACGAGGAATGCAGCGCGAAGAGCGCGCCTGGCGATATCGCAGGCCGCCGGCAACGAGCACGTGCGAAATACACGAATAGCGAGCGCAACACGTACGTACCGGGTGTCTCATAATTTGCACGTTCGAGCTGCCGTGTGCGCACGGCTATCCCGAGGCGTCCGGTAATTTCTTCCGATGGACGGTTGATAGCGGCGCGCGCGGAACCGGCGGAATGGCTGCCTGGGGATTCCGTCGACTCCGTGGATAATGGAGATACCGTGTTCGGATCATTTAGGTATCCTCCTACGAACGATATAGCGTATTTGGAGCGCACACCATACGCGACCGTTGGATTACCACGTGGGATCTTCTCAGGATTCCGCGGAGATCTTCCTCCTTGCGTGTCCGTATACACCGGAAGCACCGGTGTCTCTTTTTCCTTTCCTTTCCGGAATTAGTCGGACGATCGTTCGCGTCTGAGTTAGCGTCTTTGCCGGAATCGATCGCGTTCTTTCTTAATATCCATCGGAGATCGCAGTTCGATGTTTATATCGTGGCATAAGCGGGGTTCCTCGTATGCATCCCAGACTTTCGTCTCGCGAGTTCCATTATCGTTGTGTGTAGGGACGATAAATCACGCGGGGCGAAAATAATGTATAGGTGCGCGTTCGTAGGGGAAGTTCCCGGGCGACGGTGATGTGCTTTACTACGTGCTAAGGGTGGAAACCAGTGCAGCTCTCGCACACGACATAAAATATAAAACTTCATGCTATCCAGGACGATGCATGTTACGTGTGAGTGCATCGGTGTGCGAATCGCGCCCGAAACTAACGTGACTGATGCGACTTCGTGCAGACGCCAGGGCGCACGATTCTTCATCCACGGTCGTATTTAACGCTCTCTCCAAAGTCTCAATCTGAAATATTAAATCATTTCTTAACACCAGAACTTGGTAACTTCGTTAGAACCACCATAGGTGCCAATTTGACTCCTATGTGTATTTTCGGTTAGAGTTATTTTAATATTATTTGCATTATTTGAGATTATAACATTTATATATTCACATTTTATTATTTTCTAGTTGGCCTTTCCTTAGTCTCTTTAATTGTACATTAGTCCAGCAAACATTAACTGACGGTAACACATTATTATGTTAGAATTTTTCACTCAACAATATGTAAGTGCAATATAACATGTATGTTGTGTGACAATTGCATTGTTAAATAAAAAATTATGACTGTCAGTCCCCAGGGAGTGACGCCGCCTGAACGAAAAGTGTACTGTCAGTCCCCAGGGACCGACGTCGCCTGAACGGAAAGTTCACTGTCAGTCCCGAGGGACTGACGTCGCACTCAACGTGTTAACCATACGTATGCACTTGTCATTTGTCAGTAATTTTCGACTCGACCGTGGATCGACGAGTCTTCTAGAGCGCTTCTTCAAGATAGACAGACTTCTACGATCGCGACGGAGCTGTCCGATGCAACTCCTCTGCCAAGTCT